TTTTGGCTGATTCTTGGCCGATTTCTGATGTATGCCAATCGGCTAGGCTGATTTTTGATAATTTGCCGATTTTAGACAGATTTTAGGTCGATTTAGGCTGATTTTAGGCCGATTTTTGCATGTCTGATTTTTTTGATTTCGACCAGTGTACAGATTAGATTGTGTCTAGGTTAGTTAATTCTATTCTGACTAAATCTAATAGGAATAAAGATTATATAGGAGGATTCTAGAAAAATTAGATTTCAAAAAATTTTTGATTAAAATTAAGAGCTTAATAAATTTTAATCTAATAACATCAAAAACTAAAATATAATAAAATCTCAATTTTTTAAAAAATTACTGAAACTTGATTTTCCTAATAATCAACTTATATAATATTGTAAAATAGTTTAATACTATCAGATAATTTATATATACAATAAAAGTAATTTACAAAGAGCCTTTAATGATTATTAAGAATTTTATGATTATAGTATGTTATTAAAAATATTTTATATAATATCTGATTTGACAAAAAAAGAATTTATTGATTCTGATATACTTTTCTTTTTATTAATCAAAATATAAGGTTGTGTTATATTTTTTATACTTTGTCGACAGTATGAGTAAGTTGCTCAAAGAAGTAGAAGTAGATAAAATTTTTTCTATTTTTAGAGTTATATGATATATTCTAATAATTAGAAAAGTTAACAAAAAATCTATTGATGAAATTTTTTTGGTGAATAGATTTTTTTGTAATATTTACAAGTATTATTTGATACAAAAAAATGCATTAGAGAAGTGATAATATTAAAAGAAATTTTTGTTTGTATCTTTATTATATAATTGATAGATTTGTTTACTGTATTTTTTACTTAGTCAGTCTAAGAAATTTGTTTGTTTTTTCCTTTATCTTTTGATGAAGAAAATAGAGTAATATTAGCATTATTATTAATAAAATCTTTTAGCATAGATAAAAATATTAATGTCTGAAGTTTGGGTATTTAAAACTAGAATTTTATTACTAGAATCAAGTTCCATTTTAATATAGTAGTATTGGTTTCTTTTGGTGGAAATTTGATAGTAGTAATATTTTTTAGGTCTAATAGGCTATCTTTAATGATAGTATGAATATTTAGTATAGTAAAAATAGTATTTGATTATGAAATATCAGTTTTTTGTCTTTTGTTAGTTTTTGAAATACTTTTTTGTTTGGGTTTAAGCTGGTGTCTTTTGAAGAAGAAGCAGCAAGTTTTTCATTATTTTCTAAAGAGTTTAAAGTATTTTTATTATATAGTTCAGGTGTTTTCATAGTTACTTTGTTGGAAACCAGTGTCATTTATCGATCACTAAATACTAAGATATCTCAGAAAAACTGTTTTTAATTTTTTTTGATGTAACCTGTGACCCAACCCTGATCCATTCAGATTTCTAGGCATGTGATTTAACTAAATCACGCATTACAAACATTTGATCTATTAATAAATTGGCCAAAAATTTTTACTTGAAAATTCTGATATATTTTTTAATAAAAGGGTTCTAGTGATCGTGATGGGATCCCTCTAAATCTAGTAAGATAGAATATCATTAAAAAGAATCAAAAATGAAAATGAGCGATTAGAATCTATAATTACAGATTCTCAATAAACAGTAAATTTTTATTTCTACTTTTATTAGCTACGTATATAGGCTAATCACTCATTAATTCATTTTACTAAACCCAAAAGTATCATGCCAATCAAGCCTATGAAAACCAAGAGCTTTACACCTAGTTTGATTAACGAGCCACGTTCATTGACTCTTCCTCCACTACCGCCAAAACCCCTAATGCAAATTTCCTTGAAATGTCCTTTTCGGCCTATAGCTTTGAGAGAAGTCAGGGCTTAATTGATGCGAAAAAGTGTCATAGACTTAATATATTAACTCAAGTGTAAGATACTTTGTCAAAATATAATTCATTGATTTATTTTTTGCACGTGGGCGTGTGTGGCTTGTTGAACGTCAGCTAACTACGTGTGATTGTCTGATCGTAAAACATTGACTGCTACCTATGAAGATGCACGTTGGGAATCTAGGCTTCCTTATTTTGAAAACAATAAAGAGTGGAATTTGATCGATTTTTTACAGTGGAGCCTAGTGTTCGTAAATAATTTCGGGGACAAGACGAATACCTTTTATATAAAATTTGTAGAGAAACTTCGTTTCAAACCGCAATTACTAAAGCCTTATAGCAGAGAACTCGTACAAAAGCTAGTCTCAAGTTGTATGAATTCATTTGACATTTGGAATTTTGTTTTTGTTTGTTTTTTTTGAATTATAGCAAAGGCTAGGATGATTCCGAATCTTCTCTGGATGAGTCTGGAGAATGCATTTCGTTATAGTCTCGTCATTAATTGCCGAAAGTGCTAGGATGAGTCTGAATTCCTGAGAGATGAGTCTTTTGGGTGCACTTTTATCTTTGGATGAGTCTAAAGGTATCACGGCAACTCATTCTTTTTTTCTACATATATAGAAGGATGCAAAATCGTCCGAAGTAAGAGAGTTTTGGAACAATAGTTCTACTGTCACGGAAGCTTTAAGAAAGGCATCGGTTACAAATTCAAAAAAAATATAATTCACCAAGTGTTAGGCCTGCAGACCGATTTTAGCGAAGCACTTGCTAACACTATACGAGAGATTATACGACCTGGTAATACATTCAAATTCGTCTGCATTACATTTTATATATGTATTTAATTCTTTTTCTGTGATGCGGAGAGAGATAGCCACAGATGCCGACAATAATCCGTTATTTATATCTGAGCATGGAAAGGATTCGAAGAATGCAACTAATCAGGACGAGAAAGTGGAAGATGAGGTATAGTATTAATATTTTAGCTATCAAAAGTTCAGACTATTTATAGCAGTCAAAACTTGATAAATTAAAGATTATTCTAATGTTTTTTGCGAACAGCTTATTGAATACGCAAAAAGAGGTGAAAAATATTTCGAAGACCAAGAATCAGAGAAGATCGAGAACCAATAGTGAAAAGCCTTCCTCGGATGTAGGGCCTGAGGACGAAGAAGAAATAAAGCATTTTATAAGCATTGAAAAAGAATTGTTACGGGAACAATCAAATGAGGTACATATCAAGATTCTGGTGCTTTTATTCTGCATATATCAACAGTTTACTTCCGTTTTTAGTGAGAAGTCGGTACCATAAATGTATCGCAAAGACTTAAAAAATATCAAATAGAAATACTCGAGAAAGCGAAGATTGATGGAATAAAATCGTGTGAAAAAACCCCTGAAAAAATAGATGAAAACAAAATGAATAAAATCACTTATTTAACTGATGCGGCATCTGAAATAGTTGAAAAATCTGCATGAAGATAAAATAGAAATAAAATAAAACTAAAAAAAATAAAAAATAAAAAATAGAGAATACTTATTTGCCAAAAAAATTAAAGAAATAAATAATATAAGTAAAAAAAAAAATATTGGAAATTTATGCAAAATTTAATAAATAAATGCCGCGAAAAGCTAAGTCTGAAAATATAAAATTATAAAGTTAAAATAGTTTTTTATAAGTTGTCTGAATCTGAAGTTGGAATTCAGATAACAAAAAGGGTGTCTGAAATTGGAATCTCAATTTCAGACGCTCGAAGATCGTCTGAAATTCCAACTTTACATATTAAAATAGGAATATAATAGACTTTTAATTCAAAAAGATTAGCAATGTCGCACAGTTGTATCAAAAAAGTGGCCGAAAAAAGCATATAAAATTTTGTCGATCAAATGATCGACATAATTTTTCAAATTGTAAAAAAATTCTTTTAACTTATATATAATGAGAATGCCATATGTAATTAGTATAATTTAAAAAAGGATAAACTTCAACAGTTATGATGACATTCCAGGAGGAAATTATTTATGACGTCTTTCAGGCTCATTACCTTATATTTATTTGGTCACCATTATCATAGATTCATTTTTTTTAATTCTCGTGATCAAAAATTTCGAATTTGGGAACATTAAATCCCCATAAAAAAAAAGTCTTATTTAAAAAAAACGAATTAGGAATAACCTTATGTAACAATTAATAAAAATTACGTCATTAGATCTTCGTCAAATTTTTTTTTTTTTAATAAATAGCTCAAAAAAAGATCCTATCTTTAAAACAAAAAAAAAACAAAAATTCGGGATAAAATGTCAACGCAAATACCTTTAGAATGTCTCGAACAAATTTTCAAACATCTTTTAAATTACAGATCAACTTTATTTAATTGTCTTTTGGTAAATCGATCATGGTGTCGTCAAGTTGTACCATTATTATGGAGTAGACCATTTAGTCGCTTACAATGGAAATCATCTTTACGTCTTATACAAACATACATTTCGTGTATGACTAAAGATCAGAAATCCTTCTTTACAGATTTAGATATCTTTATACCGGAATCATCATCACCTTTATTTAGTTACGCTAAATACTTGAGAAAATTTAACTATAACGAATTATCATCTTGCGTTAATATATGGTATTGTGACTACTATCAGCATGGAGATGGTAATATTAAATCTGATGAATACATTAAAATTAATTTAATTACAAAAGAACTTGGAAAATTCATTATTTCACATTCAAATTTAATTCATGAACTTTATATTTCAAAAACATTTGGTTTTTCACAAATAATGGATATTACTTCTTTTCCCGGAGCTAAAAGTTCACTTTCACATCTCCGAAAAATTAGAATCACAGGAGCTCGTTACATGGAAACCAAGGATATAAATGACTTTTCAAATATTTTAATTGGTTTATCTCAAATATGCACACAAGTACGTGATATAGAAATTTACAAATTTCACGAAACAAGTTCTAGGATAATAGAAGGATTAATCACGTTAATTAAGTCTCAACAAAATCTTTCGAAATTTACCGTTTCTTATTGGAATTTAAATTTAGAACCTTTAATTTTTGCTTTAGAGACACAAATGGGTTCTTTAACGGAAATTGGATTTACCAAAACAAAATTCGATAAATCAACTTTATTTAATTTAGTTAATTTAATTTCACATTCTTGTTTACAAGGTCTTTCACTTCATCAATGTGATGGACTTGACTCGAAAATTTTTCAAACAATAATTAATTCCCCTGTCGGATTGAAAAAATTATACTTGACTGATAATGATATGTCCACGGGTACTCTCATCACTTTATTACGTAATACTAGTGGCACATTAAATCAATTAACTTTAGACGAACGCGTAACAATATCATCAACAAGCATTTTCGAAACTATCGCAACACATTGTTCAAGTTTGTCACATCTCGATATTAAAGTATTAAATCCAAATATTCTAAATTTGTTTCGTCCATTGCGACAAACACAATTAAAACATCTTGTATTAAATAATGTATCAAGTAAAGGTTTATATGATGATGAAGTATTTCCTGAAATTGGAAAATTTTTACCAAAAACTTTACAAAATTTAGGTTTAATTTATTGGGATTTTACTTTACAATCTTTGCAATCCTTTTTAAGAAATTGTGATTGTCCGATAAAAAAAATATTTTTATATAAAGATAGTGGACTGAATGATGATCATTTAAATATTATTACTCAATATGCAAGAGATAAAGGTATATTAAAATCTTTAAAATTTTTAATTAGATCTTGTGGTAAAATTAGTATTCCTTCACAAGAAGCTATTAAAAGAGCTCAAGAAGTTATTCCTTTGGTTCAAGGAAATAATCGTTTTAATTAATTAATAACATATGTTTTGCTTATTATAAATTTTGAATAATTGAAAATTTTATATTTAATTAGAAAATTTATATTATTATTTTTAATGGTTTATTAAATGATAAAATTTATTCCTTTAATTGTTTTGCTTACAAATTTTCAGGCAATTTTATTTATTAATTAAAATCAGTTTTAATTACATTTAAATATTTTAAATAATATATAATAAATTTATCATAGATATACATATTTTCCTATTATATGTTATGTAATTTGTGATATATTATTAAGGGTTACTCTGGATTTCTAGATCTGATATATAAATAATTTAAAATATAAATCATATGACAGGTAGTAATGTACATTTTTGATGTTTTAGAAATTTGCTATTTTAGCTATATATTCTAGCTATATGTCACAACCAGATTTATACTATATTTCAAATGTTTTATCTGTCCTATCTATGTTCTATTTATGTCCTATCAATATTTTATCAATGTTCTATGATAATACTATAACAGGTACAGTTGTGATATTAATTCAGTCAGGAAATATACCAAATATATCCAGACGATCATTTTCTATTATAGTAACAGATTTGCCAATCAGAATATTCTAGATTACTCAAAAATGATTGGTTAAAAATTTAAAAATTAAAATTTATTATTAACTGTAAAATTTTGATAATTTATTTACAATAAATGCAATAAAAAAATAGATTAAGAAGCTATTCTATTATTTAAATATGTATTTGTATATATATTTATAATAAACAGTACTAAAGCTTTGAACAGTTCAGATTAATTCAAAGATTTTTCAGATTGGATCGGTTTAGATCAGTTTTAAATTACATAAAATTGATCTGAAAATTTTCGATTCAGTTCAGATTTTTTTCAGATTATAATTCTAATCCAAACTGAAAAAAATCTGAATTGAACTGATAATTTCAAATTAATTTGAAAGTTCAGTTCAATTATATGCAAAACTCTTAGAGAATTGCAAAAATTTAGCAAAACTCTTAGAAAATTGTAAAAATTTTAGCATAACTCTTAGAAAATTGCAATTTTTGCAGTTTCTTTTTGAATTTTGCAAAAAATTTGCGAAAATCTAAGAGAATCGTGATTTCTCTTAAAATTTTATAAAATATTGTGAAACTTTTAGAGAGTCACAAAAAATTGCAATTTCTCTTTGAATTTCACAAAAAAATCGTGAAACTCTTGGAGAATTGTAATTTTTGCGATTTTTCTAGAGTTTTGCATATAAATTGTGAATTTCTTATATAATCAAACTGTAATTTCAGATTAATCTAAAAATTCCAGTTTAGTTCAGATTTTTACTGATCTGCGATTTAATTCAGATTCAGATTAGCATTTTTAAGATTAATAATCTGAACTAAACTGAATTAAACTGAAATTTCAGTTCAGATACGGATTAGTATCTAATTCAAATTGAACTGAACTATTCAGAACTTTAAATAGTACATATATTAAAAATATAAAAATTGAAGTTAAACTGTTAGAGAAATTGATATCGAAATAAATACTTAAAAAATAAACATTAGAGAAATTACAGTATTGCTGTCAGAGAAATTAATAAAAATGATTAGTTATTAAATATATTATTTGCACTGATTGTATATTTTATATCTTATATTATATTTAACAATTTACCTCATTTTTTTGATTTCAATCTGAGATATTTTTTTGAGTATCTTCACAGAGTTGTTCAAAGAGGGTTTCAATTTTTAATAAGATTTTGGCTTTAGATATATTTTCTTTATTTTATTATGCATTTACTTTCTATTTTGTAATCAGTATTAGCTTAAAAAGAGAAGATAGTTTTTTTATTAATAAATACTTCAATAATAAAATTTTATTAAGCCTGTTTTGCTAAATATATAAAGTTTTTTAATTGTTTACTCAATTCATGATGTTCTTCTAGATTTTGATAAACAGTTCTTACATTTATTAGATTGGTAAATTCAAAGCTTCTCAAATGAATTCAGAATCTTTGACATTTCATAGATGATTCTGACTAAGTCCTTAGTCTTGATGTTTAAAGATTATTATAACTAATTAAGTTAAATAGATTATTTCTAAGCTCAAAAAACTTTTTGCAATTATGCACAATAACTTTTCAATAATGATACTATGAGACAGAAGGTATTAAAGCTTTCAAAACCTTATTTACTTCCTTAATAATTACATTTAATCCTTGATGTTATTCATAAATACCTGATCTAAACATAACACAATTTTTCTCTATAGTTTTACATACTTCTAAATGAAGCCACATCAA